TTATTCAGTGAGGTTAACCAGATGTGACACCGCAGGAGGCTTTGAATGCTCTCAGTTAGATATAACTTGTTTTAAAGGAGTGCCCATTAATTTCCCCCTGTGGTGTTTATTGTTTATCTTAATAGTTTTGGTTGTAACATATCAGCTTTGTTCCTGCCCCAGGAGGACATTATAAACCCACTTTAACAACTATTCACTGAAGTCTTCCAGAATACAAGTGTTTTATTAAAAGAAATTTTGTTTTTTGGTTATTTTGTTGTGATCAGGGTTTATACCTCTTCTAATTTGGGCAGCAGTTGCCAAAAATAGTGATCAGAACCACAATCATGCAAAGTTTTCTAATCACAATAAAGATTGAAATTAGATTACACATGATATTTTAGCATTGTTTGATCTTGTATCTATAATGATCCATAATGAAATGCTTACTGATGCTTTCCATTTCAGAATTGCTGCAGACAGTGTCCTTATATGGAACGAACATTGTCAGAACTAAAGAAATATTAAAAAGAAGGAGGCATTTCTTCCTTCAACTCTAAATATTTTTTGTTTTTCTTCCTTAAAGAAAATACTCACAAAGACAACTTTTCTAAGGATCGGTTTCAAATTGAGTAATCAAGGCTTTTTTAGCAGCAGGCTCTCACGAAGACACAATTGGTTCCCATTTAGCCAAACCTTTTGTAAAAGTAGCGAAAAATGACATTTCTGCTCCAAAAAAAGTTTGTCTTTAAAATACATCTGCTCTAAAGCTTGGCAAAAATTCAATTTTTCAGGCCGTTATCATTTTTTGCCCTGTCTCATATTGGCATGACTTTCCTCTGCTGCAAACAGGTTTTATAGTTTGAAGTTAGACATCTTATTTTGCCTCATTTTCTCTGCTGATTTAAGCAAAGTACACTGTCATGGTACAGCTTGAAACAGCATAAAGTCCTCAGTAAATCTTAGAAAGAACCTATAAAAGACTGGATTACCTAAAAAGATGTTCAAGAGACGTATCCTAGCAGTACAATATAAAGTAAATGTGGTTAAATTCCTCTTTAAAATTATACTTCCTCTATGCTGTGTTTTTACTCGCTAACACATTTTCTCATTACCACAGTTTTTATATGTCTTCAATTGGCTATAATTCAGTTGAACCATTTTTGTTCCATAGAGAAAAGGCCCTCTCTGGGGAGCTCTTTCCAGGCCTTCCAGATCCCGACACAGAGGGACCCAGGACTGCATCTCAGAATGAGATCCGGATCCGAGGATCAGAGCGAGGAGAGCAAAGAGAATGTGAACAACAGAACTGAGTGCGACATGGAGAAACGGCACTCGCACGCCTCCAACGGAGACATGGACATCCCCTAAAAGCATGAATCATTAGAGCATAAGAGGCTGCTCCGTGTACTCTGACGTGTTTTTTTCTTTCTAACAGGAAGCTCAGTATGATAAGTGTGAAAGGCAGTGGGACTTCTGCACTAAAAACTGAATTTACTTTACTACCGTTTTTGTTACACAAAGAATTTACTGACCTCAGTGCAAAACAGTAACATGTTTGAGATATTTCAAAGGACAATGCTCAACTAATACATTTCCTGGCCCTTGCATGAGGTCTGACGTGAACGGAGAAGATACCTCGGTGCATGTAAAAGAACCGCAAAGTAAAAATATTTGAAGTGCTAACAGCAGACAGAAAACAAATGAAGCTCATGGTTTGGTAAATTAAGAAAGCTTCCCATGTGTCCTTTTTACATATGTAATTTTCTGAATTTCTTTCTTTTTTTTATATGAGTTTTTGATGTACAGAACTGTTTCAGTATTAGTTAACAGAATAATTTTGCTCCTGACAAACAGGAAGCAGAGCGCGAAAGAGAGAGAGGAGGGGACACAACTTCCTGTTCCTAATGTCACCTAACATGAGTGTAAATAAAGAACAATGTGAATTGATGTCATGACCACATAAGAAAACATTCTGTCATGAGCTAGTTTGTGCAGCATTGAAATTACTAGTCTTCCTATAAATAAAGTATTGTAGGTGATGCATGTATAAAAGATGACGTGAAATGAATTTTTTTTCTTGTAAAACTAAAGAGGATTCAGATTAGGAAGTTTACACCCACTCTAAAGTGGGCTGGTCGTGAGCTGCATGTCTGCTTTACTTTGAAATCCAGCTTACCTCATTTGTCAGAATAAAATGTGTCACCAATGACTCATTTGACACCTTTGGCCTTTAGAGCCTGAGTGAACAGGGACATCAACTGACTAAAAACCCTTACTACACAATCTAGCTGTACTTTTTGTATCAATAATTATCTTTAAACAAACTTTTAGTGCAAATCTGTCTGATTTGTAGGGTTTATTTGTAATTCATTGGATCAAGCAGCATCAATTGGATATATTATAACTATCTGTTCATCCGTAGCAGAACTTATTTTCTTAGTGATGATAGAAACTTTTTTTTTTTTTTTTTTTTTTACAAAAGAGAGCTATAACAGAAAAAAGTGTCTTTTTAAACGGCTTTAATGTTTATTACAGCAGGTCTAAATCTGTCAAATCAGACATGCATATTAATATTTCCATATGGTATTGACTTTATTCCTGCAGTATCTTTTCTTTAAAGTAAAAATAAACAGAGCTGCATGTTTGACTAATTATAATCCAGCCAGGGGTGGTTTTTGAGCTGTTTTTCAGATAATAAAACAAACTGTGCTTGTTTATAGTTTGAACTTTTTGTTGTTATTCTTGCAATATGCATAATTGCAACAGGTCTGACTCTGCAACAAACTATTAACTTTTGCCCAAAGCCCTTTGAAATGTATTTTATATATCATCACGAAAAATTGTAGCGTGAACCCAACATGGCCTGGGCTTATTTTCCTTCACTGGTGACAAACCATTGCATTAGATTTTAAATTAATTGCCGTTTAATTACACTGTCAACAGGTAAAAAAGAAATATTGCATTTTTTTAAATCTATTTCAAAATGTTTGAGTCATTTTTATTACTTCCACTGGTTTACATACATTTTTAGATGCACATGCTGACTTCAACCCAAAGGAGGGGGACTGAGATCTCATGATTTGTGTGAATTAAAAATGGATCATTTAATTTAAGGAGAAAAAAAGAAATATTGGAAAGTGATCTTTAAAAAACTAGTTATAAACCCTGCAAAGGTAAAGAACCTGACTACTGTTGTTTTCTCTTTGTGGCCTGATATGGTATTCATTTTATATCACATTTACATTAGCTACAGACTATTTTTTTAAACCGAATAAAAAAAAATTGTTTTTGTAATAATGATTTAAAGACATCTGTTAAACACACACATATATATAAACATTTTGCAGTTATAACTCAATTTTGTGTCACTTTTTGTCATGTTGCAGTCACCAGTTTTAGTCGATTTTGGGGTATTTCATGTATAGGACCAACACAAATAGTGTGCATTTCTTGAAGAGGTAGGAGAATAATACAAGATTTTCAAATGTTGCCTACAAACTGTTTGTCTCTAACAGCTTTGCTATTCTATAAATTAGAAATGTTGACCATTCTATGCATTATAGATCGGTGTTGGTCAGCTTATATCAAGGGTGTAAATAGACAATCCCATAGGGTGTGGATCTCTGCAGCTCCCCCAGAGTTGTTTTCCTTTTGGCTGTTCTCCTCCTTGCCTCCTGCGTGTCAGATGTTCAAATTATTGGAGATTTTACAACTGTACTATATTCTTTCTCTTCTGTATGATGAACTGAATAATCTTTGTGAGAGGAGTTAGCTATGCTTCTCTATATCTTTTTCCTGGTTCTTGATCTTTAAAATGTGGCCTTCGTAGAACACCTGAACCTATACTGAGACTAAATTACTCAAAGATGAGCATAATTTATCAGCTAGGTGATTTCTGAAGCCAGTGGTTGTAACTGATCTCATTTTGAGTCTGAATACAAATGCAAATCAAACTTTTAAGATCTTTATCTGTAAAACAAACAACAAAAACACATGCATTTCCTCTTTTGCTTAACAATCTTGTATAAAAAAAAAAAACAACTACAAAAAAACAAATGTTTGTTGATTTTTTGAGACAGTAACTAATGGTACTAATTCTTATCCTACTAACTGAGGTGACATTTTCAGTTTGTCTAGATCCTTTTGTTTGTTATAGGCTAAATATGCAACATTATTATCAAATAGGAGCATTCTCCTTTCTGAGGTCCTAGCTGATTGTTAAAGATAGGCTCTGCGTATGCACCTCAATGCTCCTAAATGCTCTTCATAACGTATATGTATTAAATAACCAGCAGACCTGACAACAGATTCTGATAGAAATTGTAATCTTAATCAGATCAGAGAAGTTTTTTAGAATGTACAGAATGCAGCTGCTCACCTCCTGGCTCACCTCTCAGGAAGTGAGATTAACCGTTAAAAAGGTATTTTATACATCTCCATTCTGCAACATCATCTTATTTTACATCATACACGTTAGCAGATGAGTAGACATCCATGGAATCCAAGCTCTGCAAGACTGAATCAGATATTAAAAATCATTCGAAAAGATGGGTCATTTTATGTCTCATATTTACTGTATATTTTTTATGGAAAATTAATTCTGCGTTATGTTTCTTCTGGTTGTTTTTTTTTTTATCTTTTCTTATTTGTTTGATGACTATTTTTGCTTTTTTTCTTATTTGATTTAATGATTTTTTTTCCTATTTGATTTAATTACTTTTTTTCTTATTTGATTTAATGATTTTTTTCTTATTTGATTTGATGGCTATTCTTTTTTTCTTATTTGATGTAATGACTATACTTTTTTCTTATTTGATTTAATGACTATTCTTTTTTTCTTATTTGATTTTAATTAATTAATTGATTAATTAATTTTGTTATTTGATTTGGTGACTTTTTTTTTTTTTTTTTTTTTGATTTGATGTTTATTAGAAGACATCAGAGGCTGGTCCCATCAGCTCCCTGAGGTGTTTTTTCCTGAGCCGGTGGGGTTGGGGGGCTCTGTGACATGTGACAGGAGGAGGAGTGAATCCGAGCAAAGCAAAGCTATGAACGGCATAGAGAGAAGTGGAGAGGGGGAGGGATTACCTCTTTAATTCTCCTATTTGCATATTTTATAGCAGTAAACACTTTTTTTACGTTTACGTTTTATTCTCCAAGCTGCATAACGAAGGGCCGACTCTATCAAACTTTCTGTTAGTTAGCTGTCTGACATTAGCTCCTGTTTAATAGCCCCCTGGTGACTTCAAACAACTTGTCAACAGCCGATCGATCCGAGGACAGCCCTGCTTTTCCTGCTCGTTAGCTCCAGCTGGCTCACGGAGCGGGAGCCTCCACTGAACCAGCGGTGCTACAGTGGCAGAGGTAAGCTAACACGGTAGCCAGATAATACTGTTTAGCGCAGCGGAACGGGTGAGTGCTAACGGCTAGCTAATGCTACTCAGTCAATATCAAGGTTAGGAGCTATGTAGCCGAGAAGCTAACATAGGCAGACTAGTTTCGGAGATTATTTTTCGCTGTGGATAAAAAAAAAAAGAGAGAACATTTAGCGGGTAGACATTTTTGTCATTTAATCTTTCTTTTAATTTTCCAGTAGCTTGGATCAAATTACAGTCTCGGTAGTGACTCAATGGTTAGTAACTTAGCAATTACTTCCGAGAACCAGTGTGACAGGTTGTCTGCGAGAGGAAGCCTCCTCACTCCCGGCGTTTTATTCCTAGAAACAAGAATAAAAACAAGTCAGCTTGTTTGTCGCTGACAACAAGTATATCTGCGATATCGATTCACTTCCAAATAAATTCTTGTTTTTTTCAATCACGGCTCTAAAGGTACATGCACGGATGGATTAATCCGCTAGGGGGCCCGGGGGGGAAAAATATGACCCCCTTTCCTTAAAGCCCACTGCTCCACCGCCTGCTCCAGCCATAAGTGCTGAGCAGTGTGTACACAGTGCATGCACCCTTTCCCCTTAAAGCTGCTCAAAGACACACTGTGCACCCTGCCAAGCAGCTGAGGCAAACAATAACACTGATGTCGCCATGCAGCAGCAGAGAGAGACAGAGGCCAATATAACAGGATGCAGAAAAATGGCTCCAGAAAATGAATGGTCTTTTAGGATTCATACATGTCATAGACGGTCTGATCTCCAACATGCGGGTAAGAAAGGATAAAGTGAGACTGGCTGGTCAGAGTTATGTATTTACACAGATTACGGAAAAGTTAAGTGGAAGGAAAAAATGGGGAGCAAAAGGTCAGCAGGCCAAGGGAATAACTGCAGTCTTTGAAGGGGACTGGAATCAAACCCTATTTCAGAGTTTAAAGAGATTCACTTAGGCTACAATCAGACTACAAGCTGAAGTGACCTAAATCCATTTTTTTTGCCCATATGCGACCTGGATCTGATCTTTTCATGGCAGTCTGAACAACACAGATCTGATTTTTTTTTTTTTTTCCAATCCGACCCATGCTGCTTGGCTATGTGGTCCTGAATCCAATACGAATCTGATCTTTTCAAATGCGACCTGTGTATAAACGCTCAGGTCGCATTCATCCGACCTGAACTCCATTAGTAACCGACACTATTCTGCTTCTTGCTACACAGAAGCGCAAGAAAAATAAACACCATTACGGACGATGATGCGGAGAGCAGTATTTTTTTTTTAACCATCTTGAGAAGATTGAGGTTTTAAGGTTTGGAAAGATCGCTAGATGAGCTGCGGCACTACATCCATGTTTACTTCTGTAAATAGGAAGCACTCTGGCTTGTGACGTCATTGCATCCTCTACTGCGCTTGCGGGACACTTAAGCTGTATGAATGCAGTTGACACAGGAGATCACATACAAGTCGCATATATTTGGAAATGTGAACGGCAACACAAAAGAATCGGTTTTCACAAAAAAATCGGAATTGAGCATCAAGGCCTGCAGTGTGAACGTAGCCTTAAACTGCAGCTACAGACAGAGCTGCTGCATACAGATGTATCCAGAATATGAGCTACAGCTTGTCCTGTTTCTTTTATTACGCCTCTTTTGAATCAGACACCATGTCAGCAGTGTCCTATTTGGGCTAAGAAGACCAACAAGAGTTTAGTGGGTAAATTTTCCTTTTTTTGATAGAAAGTAAAGTTTGCATCCAGGTGACTTCAAGATGCTTGGGGTTTTTGGAGCAGTGCTGTTTGCTGGAAGTGGTCATTTTTGGTTGTTTTTTAAGATCTAAAGTAATATCAGCATTCTGTTTTAGATATTTAGAGCACCTAATGCCTCGCTCTGTTGATGAGCTGTATAAAAATAAAATAAAAAAATAGACTTACCAGTGCCTGCTTTAATTACCATATCATCTGTGTGCTCTAGGGGTGAGTATTGGCATGTGTGTTGCGTTATGATTGGTGTCACGATACTTGGGTTACAATGTGATATTATTGCAATATTGCAGTATCACTATATTTGCAATATTTTCCCCAACTATTAAATTAAAGGTATAAATAAAAAAAGCAAGTGCTGTAGATGTTCATCAGAAGATATATATTAAGAGATATATTTCGGTATCCGTGATGTTAGGGGCACGTCTTCCACTGTGACTGCCTCAACTACAGAAATGGAGCTGCGCCGCACAGCAAAAGGGCTCCACCTCGCTATCTGCCAGAGTGGCGGTGCAGAGGTAGCCAATTTTCCCTCAATTGTTTTAGATAAAATTTTGTCTTTTTTTAAAAACCGATACTAGGAACTGAAGGTTCGATATTATATTGGACAGCTGAAAACCATCATATATCACCAAATCATTTTTTTCCCCACACCCCTAGTGTGCTCTGTTGGCCTGAAAACTCATCTGAACTAAACCTCACAGAGGATCTATGACGTATTGTTATATCCGAGATGAGACATGTTAGATCCATGGAAGGCAGCTATTGAACCTCGACTTTCTTGATTTGCTAACAGTGTTTTTACCTGCATGCTTATATATGAAACTGACATTAAGGAGACTGTTTTGGGTCTGCTGAATGTTTTGGCAAGTTGTAATCAGACTGTTAACCCATCACATGCTGGATATTACATGAACAGCCAGACGATACGCAGGCATGTGGAGCCACTTAACTGTTGGCAGCTGTTCATTCTCGCTCTGTATATAGTCCACATGCTACATACATATGGTTATTTTTATACTGAAATATAACTAGTAACTTTGTTTTTAGGGGTCAAGCCATGGTAGCTACGTGACATGAGATGAGCGGCCGAGTCAGCTTCATCAGGAACCATGGAAGGGTTTCAGCAAACTGCGACGGAGCAGCACAGCAGGGTGAATGGCTACTGTGAAGCTAGGTCTCCGCTGGACGAGGCTGACGTCAGGTGGACCCCTCCTGAGGTAGAGTCGGCTGGCTCAGACAGCTGCGGGGCCGCTAGCGCGTCGGAGAGTACGGACATCCGGGAGGTTAAGACCAGGGAGAGTGAAGATGAGGAGGACGAGGCAGAAAAAGGGGAAGTGCTTTCTGCCAGAGGCCCATTGGGGGAGCAGAAGAATAATCAGAAAGAGGATGAAAATCAGGATAGCTGTCACAGCTTGCAGAACAACAGTGCATCATCAAGCTACACGGGTAAAAAACTAAGAGAAATCCTAAACAAATGGAGACAGAAACTAAATTCCTTTGAAATAATGTTTTGTTTTTTTTTGGTTTGGTTGAAATTGCAGATCTTTCCCATATGTCTTCGCCATCACTATCAGAGCAGCTCCGACTGGGTAAAGAAGACAACGCAGGGTCTGGGATCAGCGTGGAGTGTAAGGTCTGTGGGGACAAGGCGTCTGGCTTCCATTATGGAGTACATGCCTGTGAAGGCTGTAAGGTAACAGTTTAACCATCTCAGCAGAAAACATTGTGAGGTTATAAATACCGATAACAATGGCATGGATTTTTTATGTTTTTTGTTAGAAAACATTAACTCGAATGAGTCTTATTGCTTCTCATTCAGGGCTTTTTCCGGAGGACCGTGCGAATGAAACTGGAATACGAGCGCTGTGAGCGCTCCTGCAAGATTCAGAAAAAGAATCGCAACAAGTGCCAATATTGTCGCTTCCAGAAGTGCCTGTCTTTGGGAATGTCCCATGATGGTGAGAGGGAAAGGGTGTTTGCATTCGAGCATTAATGATAAGAACTATATTCATGCATCTAAGATTTAAAGCATTTATTTCAAATGTGTTTCCATTTCAAATAACTTTACTGTCGAGCTTTCCACCTTGAAATCCTCCTTTTTCTCATGCATTTCTTGAAAACTCGTGGTGGATTTCTATTTTATTATTTTAAGAAAAACAAATATTCTGACTGATTGGTAGCAGGACCGTCCGTTTAAACGACTTGTTTTAATTTGTTTTCTTAGCGATCCGATACGGACGCATGCCTGAGGCAGAGAGGAAGAAGCTGGTGGCGGGCCTGCTTGCAGAGGAGCTAAACCTCAGCAAACCTGGTGGCTCAGACTTAAAGACGTTGGCAAAACAGGTTAACACAGCCTACCTGAAGAACCTCAGCATGACCAAGAAAAGAGCCCGCAGCATCTTGACCGGCAAAACCAGCAGCACCTCAGTAGGTTTTATTCTTGCATAGAAAACACATTCTGTTCAGTTGCTGCTACATTTTGCTCGGACCTTTTCCTCTACTTATTCCAAGGACAGTGAATCAGATCACTGTGACGTTCTATAGCCACTTCTAATGCTGATTTAAAACCACTAAACGAGCTTGAATCAGAGGCAGCCTGACCTTAGTTCAGTTAAAAAAAAAGTTTCATTCTTGTTACATCATCCAGAAGTCTTTTTTTATTTTTTTTATTTTTATTTTTTTAAAAGAGAAAAATAAAGCGAAAGTGCAATTGCCTCCAATTTAGCCCTGTTTTACAGTCGCCATAACCAGGATGACTGAGAATCTACACTCGCAAAAGGCAGATTATTTACTCTTTGGTTGAACACCAAAGGCTTTTTTTTCAAAACTCTAAAACTTTAGATGTGAATACTTTAGACTTTAAACTATGGAATTTCCTTTTTCTTTTTTCAATTTCAAATCTGAAATTGAAGTTGGGAGGTATGGAAAATAGTTTACTAAGCACATATATATATATATATATACATACGGTATATCGCATATGTTTTTCCCTAAAACAAGCTTCTCATATATTAAAAACAAGATTGCTTAGCCCCAAAAGAGTAGAATTTCAGAGTTGGAGCATGGTTCCTGTATCTACTGTATCGTTTCAAACATTTGCCATCCTTAAATGTTGAAGCAGCCATGGTTTAGCCCTGTATTGATTTTACTAGAGAAAGTTTTTAAGCTGTTTGTCTCTGTGACAGCCTTTTGTGATCTACGACGTGGAAACGCTCTGGAAGGCAGAGAGCGGGTTAGTTTGGAGCCAGCTAGTTCCTGGTGCACCTCTGACCAAGGAGATCGGAGTCCATGTGTTCTATCGCTGTCAGTGCACCACAGTGGAAACCGTGCGAGAGCTTACAGAGTTTGCCAAGTGCATTCCAGGGTTTGTGGACCTTTTCCTGAATGACCAGGTGAGAATCAGCCTCTTCACAACAAGCAGGCTTGTTTTTGGATGCACAGAAAGCACAAGCAGACACGTTTGTGTCTCTCTCTTTCTCTCCACAGGTGACGTTGCTCAAATACGGCGTTCATGAGGCAATTTTTGCCATGCTGCCATCACTCATGAACAAAGATGGACTTTTGGTGGCAAATGGGAAAGGCTTTGTGACAAGAGAGTTTCTACGGAGCTTAAGGAAGCCCTTCAGTGAGATCATGGAGCCAAAGTTTGAGTTTGCTGTCAAGTTCAATGCTCTGGAGTTGGATGACAGTGACCTGGCCCTGTTTGTTGCTGCCATTATTCTCTGTGGAGGTGAGTATTGTATAAACATCCGCTGTATGTTACTGTTGGTATCTGTGAAAGACTGAACCACATCAGTCGGTTATCTTATCGAAAAAGTATTCATCCCCCTTAAAGTACCTCATCACTTGACCCATTGCAACCATTCAATGTGTTTCTCTGCTGTGTTCCTTCATGTTCATGATGCTGTTTGTTCGCTAACGTCCTCTAACAAACTGCAGAGGCCTTCACAGAACAGCTGCATTTTACTGAGATTAGATTACACACAGGTGGGCTCTGTTTACTAGATTCAGGGGCCTTCTGAAGGCAGTTGTTTGTATATTCAGATTTTTAATCCTGAACGAATTTGAAAACCTTGTATCTTTTTATTACCCTTCCACATTTACGCACTACTGTGTGCGAGTCTATCACATAAAACGTCTTTAAAAGATAAGAACATCTGCAGTTGTTTATGGCTAAATGTGGAAAGACTTTAAAAATGAAAAGCACTATATAAAATGTGTTTTTTTTGTTGGCCAGATTTAAGTCTTTTAAATAACATATTTGTTTGGATTGAAAAGAAAAAAAGATTCTCGCTTTAAATGTGAACATTTTTCTTAACCTACCCTTTACCCAAACATATTAATGACTCTTTTAGGTGTTTTAGTGAGACCTAATATTGTTACTGAATAAAAACTGGTTTTAACACAGTGCAGAGGTTCCTGATCCGGGCGTTGGCATTTTAACAAGTTTTAGACCGTCCTAAACCTTTGACTTTGCCCTACTTTTCTGTGTTCCCTCCTCTATTTCTCTTCAGTGGCAAGCTGTCAAATGGGTTCACGGCTATGTTGTTGTTGAGTAAGGCAGCCGTTTTTTTTTTTTTTCAAAAGTCAACAAAGAACGTGGTTCTTCACTGTGACATCAACACTGAATGACTCAAACCGTGTCCATGTTTCCTATCAGATGGATTGCTGCTGTGTCTGATTTGGACAGATTCTCCTAATATTCTGGTCTATCCTTGTAGCAGCACAATCTGTTGCTTGGATGGTGAGAGTTTGTGCGTTCACTGCAAAGTTTTATTGTGCATGCATAACTGCAAAACACTGAGTATTCACTGCTCTGCACTTTTTCTGCATTTAGTGATGTTATAGCTTTATTGCATTTATCTTTTCCTCAAAATTTAGTGCACAATTACCCTAGCCTAAATGCACATATAGCCTTTAGGTTGCAGTCTTTGCTATTAAGCTTCAAATTGAGCTAAAGGTAAAGACAGTTTCCACTGATCAACCTTGAGATGTTTCCTACATTCTTATTGGATTGTTTTGTGGTAAATTCAGTTGATTGGAAAGGCTCACACCTGTGTAAAAAGTTCCCACCATTTCTGCTCCTGTGAAATCTCCCAATGGCCAGACGTCCATTATTGGTAAATGGAAAAACATTGGAGCCAGCAAGATTCTTCCTACAGCTATGGTCACTTTGTCAGAACTCCAGTGTTCATCTGTGGGATGAGGAGAAACCTCCAGAAGGACAACCATCTCTGCAGCAAGTTACAAATTTGGCTTGCATAGTAAAAAAGACACCCCTTAAAAAGAAAACACCCACCTGTATTTAACTAAAAGAAACTTGAAGGACTGTTGGACAGTCGGAGACAAAATTATCTGGTCTGATGTAAAAAGATTCAAATCTTTGTGCTTGCCAGGCTTCATGTTTGAACGAAACCAGCCACCAATACCATCCCTGCAGCGAAGCATGGTGATGGCTGCATCATGTTATGGGGTCGGTTTTCAGCAGTAGGAGCTGTCTTGTCAGGATAGAGGGAAAGATGGATGCAGCCTAGCAAACTTTCTAAATAATATTTTCTTTAGTTTTCTAGTTTGGATAAATGTTTAATCTTAAAAAGACTGTCATTGTTTCATTGTGTGTAGAATATTTGTCTCTATTTTAGATTATTTTATACCATTCGGAATAATGCTGCAACAATTAAATGTGGAGAAAGCACGGCGCTGTGAATAGTTTCTAGATGCACCTGGACAGAAAAACCCTTTCAAGTTAACCAAACTTTACTTTCACATAACCTCATGCTAGGTACACACAGTATATAGCCATATTATACTCCAAGACATTTGCTGGCTTGTCCAAGCTTGCTCCCTAAACACACATAAACATCCAAGCTCTGGAAAAAAATCTGGTTTCAAACCTGAAGTTATGCTAACTTTTGTGTCCTTTTCACAACGTTAAATATCAGCTGCAGGATCGAGCCAAAACTTTTATTTATTTTTTTTACATGTCTGCTACTATATGAAAATTAAGTGAAATGGGCAATGATGCCAGTTATAAGTTCAGAGAATTAAAATCTGCTGGACACAGCAAATTCAAAGCAAATCACTAGAGTATCACAAATCCTACATCCTGAGTTTAACCTTTGAGCTAGTTCTATAAATGCAACAAACACAAAAGAAAGCAGACTGGGTGTCAGATAGGATGTCTACAGTAATGCATATACACAAAGACTGAACTGTTTAAACCCTCATATATGCATTGCATGATTATGGTATTCAAAGTATGCTACTTTGGGCAAATGATGATCCATGACTTGTGTCATACTAAACAGTATTTATGTGATCTAGTGCTAAGCCAGCCTGGCATCAGACTTCAGATATCTAGAAAATGTAAACATGTACTTTTATTATTCCTCTATTTGTCTGGATTCCATGAAAATTGATAATGGAAAAAAAAAGCATATTTCTATTAAAAGGGGTTATAGAATGATTATATAGGGCATTTGGTGCTGGTCCTTAAGGTCTCTGAATAGGGTGTGTAACATTGGTTGGGCTGAAAATGGCATATTTGTTGTTCTATGCGTCCTAATGCAAGCCTGGTTAAAATCCCTAGAATGAAACGACAGGTTTTGTTCCTTTTATGGTATGCTCATGAATATTTAGATGAGCTGTGCGCTGATTGGTTGGTTTACAACGAGCAAAGCTGCTGAGCCAACAATAGCAACAAGCATTCACTCACTGAAACATCAAAAAATTGTTGATATGGTAGGGTGACCAGACGTCCTCTTTTTCCCAGACATGCCCGAATTTTCATACCTAAAAAAAAAAAAAAAAAAAAAAAAATGTCCGGAGGGGAATTTCAAAATCCTCCGGGATTTTGGTCGACTACAGTGCAGCAGGCACAAGCCGTGACCTCCGGGGCTGGTCAGGGAACACTGGCGAACTGGGGCAGGAAGCCAGCGGGGGACGGAGCTACAGTAGGGATGGGAATCGAAAACCTGTTCCTGTTGAGAACCGGTTCCTTGTGTTCCAATTCCAGGGCACCATTTGGCAGCTCGCTTAACGGTTCTCTTAACGATTCCTGGCAGCACCAGAGCCTAGCGCTGGGCAGCACGAATTACGTCACGTTTTCTACATAAGTTACGCACATGGATATTCAGTAAGCCTAGAAAAGCATTTTAAAAAAATGGCGTCCCATCAGGTAAACCGTGTCAATGGGGTTTGAACTTCTCTTTACGTCCATTTCACCCACTGAACTGTCATTATTCATCTATGACAATGTAAACTCTGTTTTACATTCTATGACCCCTTTAATACATGAAACATACAGTAGGTTAATTTGACATATCCCAACTTCTTTTTATCATTGTTCTTCATACTTTAACTGAGACAGGATGAAATGGAGATTAAATAGAGGAATTTCATTACCTGTTTGGTTTTATAATAACTCATTTATAACTCAATTACTGTTTTGTTTTTATTTAAGAACACCTTTTTTTTGTTTTGTTTTTCCAAACGTAATCCATGTACCAAGTTCACAAACTCTGATGTAAAGACTTGGAATTAGACTACTTTTATTGTAATTTTGTATACACAGAGCGTATACAAAATAAAATTTTGTTTTGTGCAGCTTTCAGACAATAAATGAACATTTACATTCCATAAAGTGCAGCAGCGATCAAACATAAACAGTGTGGGAGAAAAAAAGAAAAACATGGTGCAAAAACGCATTGATATGGAAGGTTAGGGCATTAATATGTGTGGTGCAAATATGCAGTAATAAACATCCACATTCAGTGTAGGAAGTTTTATTTCTTTCAAGTGGAGTCCAGTAGTTTTTAAAGAGTGCAGGTTAGTGCAGATGCCACAAAAACAATTAAATGTCTCATTATGCACTCCGAACATTTCAAGCTACTAAAGGCATTTCCTGTTTTATTGTTACAGATCATAGGTCAGCCAAGTTCCAGGTTATTTTGTCGGGAAATTTCCAGACTGTTGTTGGATCTTGATAGGAAGGAAAACAAGTCAGGAAATTTCAATCTGGAAAATTATGATTAACAAAAATAGATTCACGTCTAACATTCTCATAACGTCTCTAACATTCCTTATATAAACTAAATCCTGAAATCAAAGCTGTTCCATATCAGACTGCAGATTATACTACTCCCTTTCACACTGACAGAAATACCCAAAACAAAATTAAAAGACCTTATGGTGAGACTCTTTCAAAGGAAGATGAACAAAAAACGTGTACGTTCTCTTCTCCAAGTTGGGTTTTTACTCTCATGTGATCTCTGCTTAATTTGTATAACTATCATGGTTTTGAGTAACTGATTAGTAAAATGTTTTTTTCTCTCCTTTGTTCTCCTAGATCGCCCTGGTTTAATGAACGTAAAGCAGGTGGAACAAAGCCAGGACAGCATCCTCCAGGCCCTTGACCTCCATCTCCAAGCAAACCACTCTGACTCTCTCTACCTCTTTCCCAAGCTGCTTCAGAAGATGGCCGATCTCCGTCAGTTGGTTACTGAGAACGCCCAGCTCGTCCAAAAGATCAAAAAGACTGAGTCGGAGACCTCGCTCCATCCTCTACTACAGGAGATCTATAAAGACATGTATTAGAGGAATCTCCAGCACAGACTGACTTTGAAGCAATACTGTTACAGATTGAATTTTTGCGGTTATAAAATAACACACTGCATTCAGTGAAGGCACTGTTTTCCATACACGGGCATGGATTTTTATTTTTTTGACCCACAGATAAGTCAGATTCACTTGGTTAGGGTGATCACAAGCAGCAGAACTCCCACAGTATCAGCATTGCTCTCACTGTGCAATGAGCATCTGGAATCATTTGCTGCAAGCCTTAGTTTCCCACAACGGCCACCTAACATGGAGAGTGATATGTTTTCTTCCAGAGGCTGCTCCCGTTTCATCCTCACAGCAAAGCTGACCCCAGAGCAGTGTTTTGAGAAAGAGAGAGAAAACTTCTCCTCACTCTCTTCAGCTCTGTGTTTTGCTGCAAAGGGAAAGCACTTCATGGTCCTTCACCAGTGGTACAGCTGAAATGGAAGAGGGATATCAGGGTTTTTTTAATTCATGACAGAGTGATTGCAATTATTTTCATTATAATATTTTAGAGATGCACACGTTGGTATTTGTTTACATCATCAACATTAACTCTTCCATCTGGCCATTTGGTTTGGAGAACACAAACTGGGCTGGCTCCAGCAGTGTCGAGCTCTCATGGTGCAACTGTCTGTGCAATGCTATTTCCACTTGCCAACATATAAAATCCAGCTTATATAGGTTTTTGTCTCAAAAGCCATTGCCCCAAGTGAAAATAAACTGAGTTGACACTATAGGCATACAACTTTTAAAAAGTTTGAGGGATAGCATGCTTGCTTTCTTTCTTGCAGAAAACTGACCTTGCCATTGTTTGACTTTGTTAGCGCATTTCTCTGATTGTGTTACAAATGGTTTTTATTGATTATGTTGTACGAGAAAATGATTGATAATGCCATTTCATTCATTTTGTGTATTATATTTCTATACCTACCTTTATAGCTTAGGTTTTTACCAAAAATGATATCAGGCGAACCAACACAATTTTCTTAAACAAAAGCATTTGAATTCCATGGTAAAGGAGGAATTAGAAATCTAGCATACAGATCCATTATATTTTGTCTTGGAGATTCTTCAATGATTGAAAGTCAATACTAACTTTTGTATCAAGACATACACAATCCAAAACTACCCTTCAGTTTGTGTGTCTGATTTGTTACAGCTAAGTAGTTTTGGCATCTTACTTTACTAGCTCTAATTTACACGATTTTCCTTTCAGAAATCTTGTGCTTTTGTCTTTATCCCCATCTACATCCAAATGTCTGGATATTTCACTGTCTTATTGAACCTTTGACGTTTATTTTTGCCTTAATTCCTTTTGTACATGCACCTTGCATTGGCTAGAAGCAGTGTGCTATTCAAAAGCAAAATATTTTGATTGGATTTTTGTATTTTATGGTTATTAGATTTTCTTATTAGAAGCCAGTTATAGAAAACAGAGTTCTTTGATCCTTGTTTTAAAATGTGAATTAGCATAAACATTTTACAATATTTTCTGGTCAAAAACTAATGCACAGAAATGTGAGCTTTGGTTTTCTTTTCCAGTTTAATATTAGAACATCATAAAAGAAAAGAAATAACTGCCCCTTTCTCCATATGCTACCATCCATAGATGGTAGGGATTATTTTAGTCATTTAGTTATTCATTTCTTTTTGTGTAATCATCTTTTTTTGTGTGTGTGTGTGGGTGCAGCAAACATTCTTGATATGTTGAAGATTCAGCGCCTCCCCCCCCCAAAAAAAATCACAAATGTAATTTTAACAGATTTTAGAAATCTAAAGGGTGTTAAACTTGTTATATACTCCCACTAATTATATTTGACCACAAACAAAAAAGGAAAATCTAATAAATACTATAAATGTTTGTTGTTGCTCTTTGTTATATTGGTTTCTAATAAGAAAATCAATTGATGAATGGGTGCAGAAATTTAATAAGGCTAGAAATCCAACCCAAAAACTTTTTTTTTTTTTCAAAGAAAGCTACCTCTGTTTATGATGGGTTGAATGATTTCTTTGCAGAAGAATGTGGCAGAACCTTAAAATATTTTCTCATTGTAACATATAAGCCTTATTCACTTTTTGTTTTTAGTGATTTATCACATATAAAACAAAACAATAATCACATTGCTTTTTTTCTGGTTTTTAATGACAGGCGCTCGTAACATCCGTTGGTGCATGATTGACGTATGTTATGGCCAATGAGGTGTCGCTAACGACACGTAGACCCGCCCACTTCGGTTTGCGATTGGTTCGTTGCCATGGTAAATAGTGGGGAGAAACAGCTGTTAGCTATTTAGAGAGGAAGAAGGAGGACTAACTGGGTTGGCGGCTAGCTTAAATCAGGGCACACAAACACGCTAAGAGGACGGACATGGATCGCAGTAGAGCAGTTTGTAGGTAAGCAGACGAAAATGAAACAAATAGAAAAATATCAAAGACTAAAAATACAGTTTTTGAAACTGCCGTCTACGCTGTTGGCGCTGTGACAAGCTAACCATACGCTTTAATTAAACTTTTTTTTTCCACTTGAGTTTCATGCAACAATATTTGTTTTTAAGCAATAATTGTCATGTTAAGAGCAGAATGACGGCTTGTATAACGGTTTGAAACGGTTTGACCAAACCGTTAAGAAAACTTTGATTTATGTCAGCCTTAGTTTAGTTTTAAATGAGCTGTTATAGCGTACTATTTCTTGAGCCTGTCAGTACCAGGTCGGTGAGTTTAATTTTATTAAAATTGTATTGGCACAAAATATCTAAAACGTTTCTCTTTATAACTACTGTTTCCAAAAATGGCTTATTTTTTCCCCGTTTGACGTCCTGACTTGGACGTCAAAAATTCAATATGACTACTGTCTGTGAACCTATTAAGTTTTTTCAAAACATTTCCAGGACTGTTTTGGCTACACACTCTTGCTTAGTCTCCTTTAGTTCAAAGTTGAATTTCCTAAACGTTCTCCAGTAAATATCTTTGTTCAGTAAATTGTTTAAAGCAGTGGTTCTCAAACTTTTTCTGTCATTCCCCACTTTGGACAAGGGGGAATTTTCAAGCCCCGCCTGTCCCCATCGCCCCAACACAATGCTAATGAAATATGCAACAATCTTAAAATTTTCCAATTTTATTGAAGTAACAAGTAGTATCTAAATACAAACTATCTACATCAAATAACAGCAAGCTCAAATATAAAGAAAATAAAAATGCAGCTGTGTCAAAATTTGTATCAAGCTCAAAGATAGAAAAAATTAAAGTGCCACTCTGCAATCTGTTAATAAAAGAAAAGAAGTGAAATCCATCTGGCAATACAGGTCTATTTATCCCTGCATTAGTGGCTGCAATGAGCCTGTTTTGCATTGCACAGTTTCTCAAAACAGGGTTGCAGGCTTGATACTGCCACTCTCAAGTCATGCTCAATGTTCAGCTGAGATCTGTATTTTGTTTTCAGTGAAGCAACAGTTGAAAAGCCCATCTCACAGAGATATGATGTGGCAAAGGGAAGAAGAATGCACACAGCTCTCTGCCCGATGAGTGGATACTCCCTCTCCACTCCAAACCAGAATTCACTATTAGTCTGAGCATTAAACCTGAGCCTCAGGGTGGAGTCAGACGTCATTTCAATAAACTGGTCCTATTTATTTAAGAAAAAATATTTCAAATTCAGTTACTTATGATCAACCTGCGCCGTCAATCCCGGCGCATGTGCGCTTTATTTGCAGTCTGGACGCTGAGGGCAAACATGCTGTGTCTCTGCAGCGCTGAGAGGGACTCCTGCGATAGCGGGGGAGAACGGGGTTGGGACGGAGGAGGCGCCCCACGGCAGCACCTGCCGCTGGAGGACAAGAAAAGGAACGATACGTGCTTTCACGTAAGAGTCTCCAAAAGTCGCTAATTTGTCGCTAGTCCCTTTTTTAAAAAGAGTCGCTGGAGGGGTCTAAAATATAGCGACAAAGTCGCTGAGTTGGCAACACTGGGGCGCGAAAGTTTATTCCGTTACAAATAATATGCCGACGTCACGTCAATCATTATTTTGGCACTTCAGTTCCAGGTGAAATTTTTCTCATATCTAATGTTCTTTTAATTAGACTGCATGTAGGCTAGTAATTACTTTGTGGGTTTGATTGGTCTAAAAAGCGGCAACATGCAGCTATAAGGACAGTTTGCTCTCACACGTTCTACATTTATAGTCACACAACACACACACACACACACCGGAACTTGGCGCGCCCCACCTGTCACGTCTCAATTCCCCACCAGTGGGTCGCGCCACACACTTTGAGAACCGCGGGTTTAAAGTAACATTTTGCAAATATTCTGGTGTATCAGTATGGGAGCAGATAAGCCAGATGGTGTCATTTCAGTGTCCTGAATAAAGTGCATTCAACATTTTGAGATTTTGTGCTTAACATGAGTTATTTCTCACCTAGGGGGGTCTGATGGATGTTTATAAATGTTGATGAAATTGCTGTAAGATTTTTTTTTTTTTCCCCTACCCATTCTGACCGTAAGGTATGAATTGTGTTTAATCTCCCTCAAAAGTCATCTTAGTAGAAGCATCCTTTTGTCAGGATAGAAGTAACGTCTAGATTGATAGAAGTCTCAAGGTTAGATTGGATAAAGCTGGTAGAATAGGAAGATAACCACCTACGTAGATAGAATAACAATATCTTTTCTCAGGAGCTGGATTTGATAAAATGGAACCAAATGTCTGTGGCATCCATTTGAGCCTTGATACAAAGATTAGGCTAAGTTCAATATCAGATTATACTTGGTGATGCAACAGGTTGCTTTACTGATGTGTGAGAAAGTGGACATGCATTTGCAAGGAGTGTGGCCAAGGTTATACAATCTGATCATCACTAAATGCTTTTCTGTTTATTCAACCCCCAATGAAATGGGTGAAAGTAAAATTTTCTTACAGTCCCTTTAAGAGTGTTTGTTTTTTCTAAGAAGGAACTGATTAAAAAGTTAACTGGTGAGGTTTCATGGACTTAATATGCATATTTGGAAATCCTGTCTATCAACATATGTACAACTGGTTATGAAAGCCATTTAAATGCAAACATCCTAAAACATTACTTTTGTATTTAACCTCTTGCACAGGCATTTCATAAATGGCTTTTGCAGATTTGGGTTGAGATGCAAGTACAGACATGAGACTACCCCTATACCTGCATCGCAAATATGTCGGTACTTTCAGAAAGGTGGATGCTGGTATGGTGAACGCTGCAGGTAACACTCCCAGAAAGCATGTTTCGTGTTTTTAGATGGGTTTTTTTTTTTTTTTTTTTTTTTTTTTTTTTTTACTTCAAAGTTTGAGTAGCTATAAGGCTCAGTTTTTATTTTTATTTTTTTCTCTCCCCACTTCCAGGTATTTGCATATCACTCTGCCTCATGTTGGCCACGCAGTTCCGGGTAGAAGGGGTTCTATGCCCACAGCAGTCTCCCCCAGTGTGCCCTACTCTTCTTCTTATGCAAGAAGAGGATCAGAACCAGCTCTCGGTAATGCTGATGTCCCATCCAGGCAAAGATGCAGTGGACCACAATCAGCTGCTTATGCATTTACTCCTCAGCAAGACACTGGGCACCTGCCAGAAAATATTGTTGAGGAACAGCCACACGGTAGTGGAAGTTTATACAAGAAACTGCACTGAGTAGTGTTTCGTTTCTAATACTGTTTTCTTATTGGCAGAAAATGAGGAGTCGGCCCATAGTTCAGGTATCGCTCAAGCAAGTGCGTGGCATGGAGCAGATGAGGTTTGTATTTGATAACTAGATCCTCCACACTGTCAGAACTAGCTGGGGTGGGTTTAAATGACCACTTTGTCCTTGTAGCACTCTCAGGGACCCTCCAAATCTGAGACGCAAGAAAATGGTGCAACAGCAGCTTGCAGTAACAGTGTAGAGCCTTTGTTGAAGAGCAAAAATGTGGTCTGTGGAATCTGCATGGAAAAGGTCTATGAAAAGGAGGAACAGAGAAACCGTGTTTTTGGTATTTTGCCAAACTGCAATCATCCCTTCTGTTTAAAATGCATCGCAACTTGGAGGAAGACAAAAGATCTTGGACCTGGTGTTGTAAGGTGGGTCTGGAGTACTACGAATGAAATAAACTTTTGACGGCAAATGTTTTGACCCCCTCCATGTGTATTTGCAGGGCCTGCCCTCAGTGTCGAGTCAGGTCAGCCTTTTATGTGCCCAACAAACACTGGGTGGAAGGTGAAGAGAAGGAAAATCTAATAACTGCTTTCAAGAAGAAATTGGGGTAAGAATTTTGGGGGGGGCATTAAAGTACCTGTATGTTATGGAAAGTTCAGTTGATAAACTGATTTTTCAATATTTGACACAGAAGGCTAGTCTGAAAATTTCTACACCAATTAAAGCCAATGACTGTACTCTTCGTTTCCAGTAAGAGGAGATGCAGCTTCTTTGAAAGAAATGGATTTTGCCCCTTCAAAAAGGATTGCCTTTATGAGCATGTCTTGGATTCAAGTCATGTTTCTTTTAGTGTAAGGGCAAAATATTATTTGAACCTAAAGGGCTTTCTGTGGTGTTGTGTTTACATAATTTTCTTTTTGTCTTCTCAGTATTTCTCGGATGACAGTGACGACGACGACAGCGACCTTGCTGATCTGCTTAATATTATTATAAACATGAGCCTTTGGAGGCAGGAGGAACTGGATGAAGACCTTCTCTTTTTCCTAACTGAAGATTTGGGGTTTTGAGCCACTTGGTGGTTTTAAAACCCTTGATCACTGCCTCTATAGTGAAACCACATTTGGAGAAGCTTTCAAGATCAGGAAAATAATTATACTCCAGTTGTTGAATTTGACTTTGTCACAAAAAGCAGGTTATGTCACTAGTTTCCTGTAATCAAAGGAAATAAGATGTCTCTGGTAATTTTATGAGAAATTTATGCACATCTTCACTCTGCTCCTGCTGTAACGATGAAAGATGGAAATTTTTCTTGCATAATTTTTTTTTTTTTTTTTTTGTCCCTGATATTGTTGACATCTGTTCTTGAATGGGTTTTTGATGACCTCCCACTGCTTAAATGCCTTGTTCCTGTCTGTCCCTCATATCCTCTCATAGATTTTCAACTTTGAACTTGTTTCCCCCAGCTTTTGACAATCTGGAATTTTAAAAAAGGAAAAATATATGGCTGATTTTAATAGTCAAAAGGTAAAAAGTCTTCCATGGTCTACCCTCTGGATACAAAATTCTAATACCAACCTTAAAGACACTATGATGGCTTTACCTAGTTTTTGTCAAGAAATTACATTTGGTTTTAATTTCATTTTAAAAAAAATGTACACTGGAAATAAAAAAAAAATCACCTTTGCCTCACTGAAAATGTACTTTGTCCCTTTTTGTTAAATGAGTGAAATGTTTTCAAGATGTACGAATATTTAGGGGGGGGGGGGGGAACTCCAGTACGACAGGTGGCGCTGTGGAGCTATGTTCATCGAGTAGATTTCAACAAAACGCGGTTGAATTCTCAGTTGTCATGGGCGACGGAAAGCGGCGGGCCTGCAGTCAGAGGTCGTGTCCGTCTGGTTCTTGTTTGAACAGCTGTATGCCAATGGACCGGTTTGACGGACAGTCCAGGCTGCTGCTCAGAGCACTAATGTCAGGCTTTTCCGGGGCCAAAACGGCGCTGAGTGTGTTCCATCGGCAGCAACGGGCTAACCAGGAGAACTCACTGGTTAGCTTTATACAGACACTATGTAGAGATGAAGTTGCCTCCCCAGAAGATGGAGCTCTGACACTAACAGTGTAAGTACACAGAATCGCTACCAATAAAATCGAGCTGAAATTGATTACGAAAAGTTATACGAGTTACGGTAGTAACTAAACTAGCCTTAAGACGTAAAGGCAAAACGTTTTACGGTTATTGGATGGAATTGGTTGATCTTATTGCTTTATGCACGTTATTTTTACTTATGTCAGTTTTGCTTTACAAATTTAGTTTATAAAAATATTTTACAGCAATGTTCTAACTACCGATTGACACATCTCCATCTGTTGCTGATAAAGTTAATGTGAATAATTTCAAACTAGAGCCATCTAAACTCTTTGCTTCTTTTGCATGTCAGTGAATGGTTTCACCTCAGGATGTCAGAACAACTCGAGATGTTTTCAAAGTTCAGCTGACTCCTCTCCATTCCTCCAGGTCTACAGTGATGCTGTCACCCCAGTCCCAACCATGACAAGAGATCTCTTTTAGATCATAGCTTAACTTTGCTTACATCTGGAGTTGTTCTGTTGTCAGTGACAGTGTTTCCTGGAGACTGTTTTAGTGATAAGAGGAAAATTTGTGGATATTTTATGGTAGGGAACACCCAATCTATTAAAATAATGACAGCAAAACAAGTGTGTATGTATATATATATATATATATATATATATATATATATATATATATATTCACGTAGGCATAACCATTATTAGAACATAGAAGTGAGTGGAAAATCAACCAATTACATTTAATAAACTTAAAACAATTTTACTTTAAAAGGTACAAGGCACTACCATATAGTGTTTTTGAGTGACTTTCAGCATCCTGTGTGTGCTGGCTTCTATTTTCAGGGAAAGATGCTTCTTCCTTGTACAGGTGCTGGTCATAAAATTAGAATATCATGAAAAAGTAGATTGATTTCAGTAATTCCATTTAAAAAGTGAAACTTGTATATTATATTCATACATTACATACAAACTCATATATTTCAGATGTTTATTTTGTTTAATTTTGATGATTACAAATGACAACAAATGAAAATCTCAAATTCATCATATCAGAAAATTAGAATATTGTGAAAAGGTTCAAAATTGATGGCCCCTGGTGCCACACTCTAATCAGCTAATTAACTCAAACCACCTGCAAAAGCCTTTAAATGGTCTTTCAGTCTAGTTCTATAGGCTACACAATCATGCGGAAGACTGCTGACTTGACAGTTGTCCAAAAGACGACCATCGACACCTTGCACAAGGAGGGCAAGACACAAAAGGTCATCGCTAAAGAGGCTGGCTGTTCACAGAGCTCAGTGTCCAAGCACATTAATAGAGAGGCGAAGGGAAGGAAAAGATGTGGTCGAAAAAAGTGTACAAGCAAGAGAGATAACCGCACCCTGGAGAGGATTGTGAAACAAAACCCATTCAAAAATGTGGGGGAGATTCACAAAGAGTGGACTGCAGCTGGAGTGAGTGCTTCAAGAACCACCACACACAGACGTATGAAAGACATGGGTTTCTGCTGTCGCATTCCTTGTGTCAAGTCACTCTTGAACCACAGACAGCGTCAGAAGCGTCTTGCCTGGGCTAAAGAGAAACAGGACTGGACTGCTGGTGAGTGGTCCAAAGTCATGTTCTCTGAGGAAAGTAAATTTTGCATTTCCTTTGGAAATCAAGGTCCCAGAGTCTGGAGGAAAAGAAGAGAGGCACTTCATCCACGTTGCTTGAAGTCCAGTGTAAAGTTTCCACAGTCAGTGATGGTTTGGGGTGCCATATCATCTGCTGGTGTTGGTCCATTGTGTTTTCTGAGGTCCAGGGTCAACGCAGCCACATACCAGGAAGTTTTAGAGCACTTCATGCTTCCTGCAGCTGACCAACTTTTTGGAGATGCAGATTTCATTTTCCAACAGGACTTGGCACCTGCACACAGTGCCAAAGCCACCAGTACCTGGTTGAAGGACCATGGTATCCCTGTTCTTAATTGGCCAGCAAACTCTCCTGACCTTAACCCCATAGAAAATCTATGGGGTATTGTGAAGAAGAAGATGCAATACACCAGACCCAACAATTCAGAAGAGCTAAAAGCCACTATTAGAGCAACCTGGGCTATCATAACACCTGAGCAGTGCCACAGACTGATCGACTCCATGCCACGCCGCATTGCTGCAGTAATACAGGCCAAAGGAGGCCCAACTAAATACTGAGTGCTGTACATGCTCATACTTTTCATGTTCATACTTTTCAGTTGGCCAACATTTCTATAAATCCTTTGTTTTTATTGGTCTTCAGTAATATTCTAATTTTCTGATATGATGAATTTGAGATTTTCATTTGTTGTCATTTGTAATCATCAAAATTAAACAAAATAAACATCTGAAATATATGAGTTTGTATGTAATGTATGAATATAATATACAAGTTTCACTTTTTAAATGGAATTACTGAAATCAATCTACTTTTTCATGATATTCTAATTTTATGACCAGCACCTGTATTTGTTAAAGTGGAAAAAAGTCTAAGGGGCATGAATACTTCTAAGTGCATTGTATAAAGAGCAACGTGCTTAATTCAACTTAGTGAAAATGAACAGTTTACTTGTTAAAGTGTTTGCATGTCCAGTCAATTGACTGATTGGATGTAAAATAATATCCGTAGATCACCCTATGTGCACCAGTGATATTCAAGCAGCTGTATGGACTATCCTATGAGTGAACACATGATAGCACTAGCACAGATTTTCACACGTAACAGAACAAAAATTATGTTTTAAGATCTATTTTTTTACATCATGAGCTTGAAATCTGTGCTTTATATGCAATTTTCCATAGATAAACCTACAGAAAATCAATATTTCTGTATTATATTTAAATTATAAAAATATATATCTTTATTCTAGAACCTAAAAATAAAAAAGGTAAAGTTATTTCAACTGGAAACATATAACAGAAATGAGTTGTCGTTTATCAAAAGGTCATTTGATGTCTGCAGTTCTAATCAACATTTACTGAGCTGCTTTTAGGTCAAAAAAGCTCTTTGGATTGTGAAGGTTGCAGACCACTGATTTAGATCAATGGGGCTATGAGTCCAGATCTCTTTTATATGTGTCCTATGATGCTTTTCCTTAGGGCATCCTATAGCTATTCAGAATGGTGCATTCACAGAGATTATAGTATGATCTCATGTAACATTATACTTAGGCAATAATCTATTGTCCTTGATTAGCCCTAAGCCACTGTGGCTGAAGACCCTGTATATTTTACGTTCATAAAAATATATTTTATCTCTTCTAGCAAACCACTTGTGTGCCTGCTACAACCACTGTTTAAACAAAACCTGCTGACCTTCCTCTACTTGCTGCATCCTGCTATCCCTGTGCCCGCCGTCCTCCTGCTGCTCAAATGTCTTGGTGAGGACTCCACCCCCACCCCCTGGGTGACGGCTATGGTTAGGCAACTAGAGAGGAAACTGGAGGTGAACCACACAGATCCTCTGTACTCTGAGCAGTGCAACCAGAAACTAAAGACTCTATCCGAACGTTTGGGAGGTTTTTGTGAGACTGGAGGTTGGGCCGACTGCTTTATTAGTCAAACAGAGGAATCCGAGTCACATGCTAGACCTGATTTATCTCAGCCTGGAACTCAACGGAAAAGACGGGCCAGTTTGGACCATGTGGAAGCAGACAGCAAGGAAATGGTTCAGGAGAGTAAAAGGATGAAGATGGACGAGGATGTAGAAGAACTAGTAGAAGTAGAAGATGAAAAAGTGAGGTTGGACACAGGAGGGGGATCAGAAACTCCTGCAAACAGAATCCATGATGACCTACCTGAACACATCAGGGTAAACAGACTCTAAGAGGCAGACTTTTTTTGTTAAGATTTACAATGCAGTTTTACATTTTAACAGAATGATCATATACACCAAATCATTCAAAGTGTGTTATTATTATTTTTTTATTTACTTAGGGATCTGTTCTTCTTATGCAAGAGTTACTGGAAAGTCAGGCTGAGGTAAGAACTATATGTTCATCTTTCAGAGAATGAGAAATGCGATGCAGCTGTTAGTGTCTGAATCTTTCTCTTTCAGTGGGACCAGAGCTCTGCAGATGTGTTTCAAGTGTTAAATGAATGCAACCCAAACCAAGTATGTCTAAATGATCAATTATTTCTGCATTTTGTTCAAGCGCTTTCTATTAGTTCCAGGGTTAATCTGTCTCAGTTGTGTCATTATATTTCCAAAGGGATCTAAGTGTGTACTGGATTCTATATAATTTATTGGAAAACACTTCTATGAGTTGTTTTTACCATATTGCTAAATTTATAACTAAATCGTTTAAAAGGTGAAAAGTCTTCAGAGGATATTTGTTCTGTTTAGGTGGAGATGTTATGCAAGATGCTGAATTTTCCCATCTTACCTGAAGACACACTGCCTAAGCTGTGCAACGGGATTTTGTGCCTCTCTCCTGACCTGAGCTACAGTGCTGCAGCATCGCTCATTAGGAGTGTCCTGCTAGAGAAGGTTGGTCCATGAATGTGTAAAGGAAGCAGTTCAGCAACACTTAGATCTTAAAGAGTTATATATATTTTTTATCTTTATACCCTTAGGTCTCATCCCTGTCAGAACCGCCCTCCAGATGTTTGGTAACAGCGGTAACTTCGCTGTGCAGTCGCTATCCCAGGCCGATGTGCCTCGCTATGATTGAACCAGTGCTGCAGGACAGGAACATAGGTGAGAAACTTGTGCTGCTTAGTTTAGTTAGCATATTTACATGTGCAGCAAGATCTGATGCACAAATCTGCTTCATAGCATCTGTGTTTTTTTAAGCAGATGCATTGATGTAATGTTTTACTAAAGTGCACCATTTTTCCCCAACATTTGCCTCAGAATCTAAATTGCAACTGGTGGCAAACATTTTTTTAAGAATCAGATTCAGTTTGAATTGAATCCCAGGTATTACTCTGGGTTATTGACACATTCACTGAGGTTATTCTTATGTTCAAGTACCTTTTCACTGTCTTTGGCCTAAACAAGTCGGGGTGAATCCTGCTTAAACTTTGTGTTGCTTTTAGGCCCTCCTCAGACAGAACTGCTGAACAGGCTGATAGAAAACTGTCTGGATGTCCATTACAGGCTGCTTGTGCTTCAGTGAGACAAATCCCTTAAATACTACAGTCAATTAAACCACACTGAGTAATTAAGCTTCTGGTATGCAGAGTCCCATTAAACTATATATGTATTTTTCAGAATGACGTTCCGGATTCCTTGGAGTGAAGCGGTTCTCTCTGTCATCCACAGCTTGCTCGACCATAAGGTACTCTATGGACAAGAAGTAGAAACCAGATATTTACATATTTACACTGTATAAAAATACACAAAGATTTTTCCTACTATGTGAGAAAATCAGACTAAACCATTCCTAGTTATGGCCTGCTAGGATTACAAACCAATTTCTATTTGCTAAATGTCAAAGCATTGAGTGTTTATTTTTTTACTTTATATTCAAAACTTTACATAAACTAACATTACAGTGCCTTTAAATGACTTAGGAAGTACCAGATTGTGCTACCATGAAAGATTCATTTGAGATGAATGGTGGCACTGGTGTGAATACAAAGCAACACCTCAAAAAACTCTGACTCCCTATGAGATGATGTGGAAAAATATAAAGAAAGAGCCAAGAAACAAGGAAGAGAATGGGAGACCTCAGCATACGTTAATCATCCTCTGCTACGTTTCCAGTTAAAACCTCTACATCAGGGGTGCTCAAGTCCAGTCCTCAAGAGCTACCATCCTATAACTTTTAGATGCATCTCTTCTCTAGCACAGCTGAATCTAAAGCCCCAATCCCTTCATTTAGCTCAGCATAGGTGTGGTGACGAGTCACTCATTTGATAAAAGTGTGTTAAAAATGGTTGCATCAAAAAGTTGCAAGATAGTAGCTCTTGAGGACTGGACTTGAGCACCCCTGCTCTACATCATAATACAAGTCAGGAGGGAGATGGGTTGTGATGCAAAATATTGGAATAATAAAAAAAAAAACAATCACAAAAGACTTTTTGAAGATGCTGATGATGAGGGTAATTATCACAATGAGACAAGTCCTCTACTACCGGGGAATGAAGAGGCCATAATCCCAAAAGCAACATAAAAAAACAAATAAAAGTCTGCAAATAGACAGAGGGACTAATAATTGCTGCCTAATAATGATAACAATTCGAGGAATTGGGGGGAAGGTTGTAACCAACTAAAGCATAAAGTTTAAGGTGGGAAGATTAGAGCAAACTGCAGGGACAAACTTGGTAAAGGATCGCAACATGTTTGAACTTAGTCACTTTAATTATACTATTTTATATACCTCTAGATTTAAGGAGCAGTGGAACTGATCTAGGGCTGCAACTAATGATTATTTTGCAAATCGATTAATCTGTTGAATATTTTTTCGATGAATTGATTAATAATCGGAGCAAAATTTTCCTTAAAGAAGATTTTTTTTTATCATATTAAACCAGATGAAACTAAAAGCTTTAAACTTGAGGAGTTCTGTATAGTGCAAATTGAAAAAAAATTAAAATATTCAATGCAAAATCTTAATATTTTTTTTTACAATTTTGATATAATTACTGCTCTAATTGGGTCACTCTGTCAGCTAAAGGCCTGTTTTACAGTCGCAATATTTCAGTTAACGATAAATCGATGGTGGAATTAGTTGATGATTATTTCAATAATCTAATTGACTAAAACTATTTGACCAAAAAAAAAAAGGAAAAGTTTGGTCTGATTTGCAATGTCAGTTGTATGATAATTATTGTTAAGGTGTTACCTTTTCATTGTGTTTGTTCTACAGCTGGTTTTGAGTGAGGAGGTATTCACACAATTGACTGAACAGCTCATCAGCCAGGGATCTCAGTTCACCAAGTCAGTGAAATTTGCTAAAATGATGTTAACCGTTCTCACCAAATACAGCAGCCACGTAAGTTTGTATACATCCTATCTCCTAGTATAGCTGTCAGCACAGAGGTCTCTATAATCCTGCGGTTTATCGATTGAATATGTTTTCTTTCAGGTGACTGCTGCACAGAAACACTCTCTGGCAGGCTGCCTGAGTTTAAATGAGACTTTCTTGAAGAAATCCCTTCAAGCTGCTTTGAAACGAATCCCAGACACATGATTGAAGATTTGAGTTATGATATCAATAAAGATTAGTTGAAATTCACTCCACCTGGATTACGCACTTTTGTAAGATGATGCTTTAATTTGCCCCTTACTTTAATTGTCATTCTGTCACATTATCTTTTGGTCTGGTGGATATGCAGAAGGAACATGAAAGCTGCTAAAATCAGAAAACAATTTTTGTTTTATTTATTTTAATGTATAAAACAGATTTGTGCCTGCTTTTTAACAATTACTGTTTCTGTTCAACTTTGCAAGAATTCAGATGAAAGTTATGTTTGTTGGTTTAGAAGTGAGTTTTGTTTAGTTTTTCAGATTTTGCACACACTGGTCGGTTTAAAGATAATTATTAAACAATTACATTTCATGCTTATCACAGGCTAGTTGGATTTGTAAAACAAAAAAATATATGTAGAGAGAGTTTTGACATTCACATTTATAAAAATACTGTGAGAAAAGGTCTTCAGTATTCTCTTATGAGATGTACTTCTTCAAAGGTGAAATAAGAATACCTTCCAGTTATTTAAAAAAAGGAGAATTTGGGAAATAAAACATGCTTAGTTTCTTACTAGATGGAAGTTATACAAAAAGATTCGGTTATATTCAGATAATGGATATTTGGATTATGGTAAAGTAGTACCTTTTATTAGTAGTTATCTATCATTAAGCTTTAGGCATAACAGACTGGATGTTTCTTCACTCCTATCAGAAATAGCCAAGCTAAAATGCCATAATTTAGCTGTTTTTTGCACAGACAAGGCTTGGAAGCATTGTTCAAACCTTCTGTAAAGTTCCTTGAGATGACATGTGTTGGGAATTGGTGCTATATAAATAAACCGAATTGAATTGTTGGGTTTATTTAAATCAGGATTTTCAGGAACCTTTGTGTCGTCCCTCTCGATTAATTCAAAGACCAGTTTGTTTGGGGTTACTTTGCTGTTGAAACACCCAATTATAGAAGTTTTAACAATCCAGCTTGTGGGGAAAAGTAAAATGATGTTTTTGAGTGCTTTTCTTTGGCAAAAATAAAACATTAAAAATTCTGTGTATAGGCCTATATAAAAAATAAAAAAAAGCAAAATACAGCTCTGTTATAGTGGTATATATTTATATCTGCACTTCATGGAACGAGCTTTATGTGCTTTTTGTTATTGTGATTAGATGAAATAATTTAGAAAAACAATTTAAATTGATCGTAGGTTTTCATATGCATCAATAATGAATTAATGTCTTTTGTGCTACTGTAGAACGGTGTAAATAAAGTTAACCTGGGGGGGGAAAGGGGGCGCTTTCTGGATGACGTAGCGCGCCTATAATTTGCGTAACTTCCGCCTGCACTTCCTTTTCCAGCGTAGCGCGACGAAGGGAGCAAGCTGCTAAAATGAGGTTAGCACGATTTAACCTATAAATGTTGAAGATAATGACTTTTCGTGTATCATAATATAACCTATTTTATTTAATGGCTTATAAAAACTTGTTATAGTGTTAAAATTTTATTTTTAATCATGTAGTTTTTCTTAGAATCCGTTAAAAGTTAGGCATGGCGGACCGGCTTACCAGTCACTGACGTCCCCTGCCTTTTTATCAGCAATCATCCAAAGCCATCCACCTACTTACACACATTTTTACACAAGCTTTTGGGTTTTTACAGTTGCCTTACTTATTTCAGATAACTCCCCTCTTAAATTATATTGTTTTGTATTTCTGTTTCGTAGTTTAGAATAGCAGCTTTGCAGCGCTAGTTAAGTATCGCTCACCGGGCATGTTAATAATAATTGAGGGCTATATGTCTGTAATAAAATATTTAAAAAAATCTTATTTATAAAGAATTAGAAGAGAGTTATATTTAACACGTGTTCATAACTGCCATTTTAGAAATTAAAAACGATTATAGATGTCAGCAATTAGCAGACCATGATAGTTTTAACCTGATAATGTTGATATTTGACTAAATTCACACTAGTTAACTAAAATTTAATTAGTTGTTGGGTTAAGTTATAGTAATATGGAAACAATGTGATCTGATTTTATTGCTCATGAATTGTAAGTACAGTATTTTGCTAGTTTTAGCCATTTCAGGGCCAATACATGCTCTCTAAATCTAAGCACTGGAGATGCTGGATATTCAGATTGTTTTGGCTATTTCATGACTGTCTTAAAGTGTTCATATTATCCTGCAGCCACACTGATCACATCCCAGCTCATGCTAGAATCTCTGTAACTCAGTTTGAATTGAGCTGTAATAGATTTTCTGCTATCCTTTATTTTGCAGCAAGGTTTCCAGGGATACATTGTATGAGGCTGTGAAGGAGGTCCTGCAGGGCTCCTTAGCCAAGCCCAGGAAGTGAGTACATAAAAGTGAAACTTGGGCTTTAAAATTGTGTTGTTGTTTTTTGTTTTTTTTTTTAGCAATTTTACTCAAACTATTTCTGTTTTTCAGGTTTACGGAGAGTGTGGAGCTGCAGATCAGCCTTAAAAACTACGATCCTCAGAAAGACAAGCGTTTCTCCGGCACTGTCAGGTTCGACACTTCACTGTTTCACCCAAGCTTCTCTCTGTTTGCTTCCAACACTGTCTGGAGTTAGATTAATCCTTTTTAAATGGGGAAACAAAGCTTAAGTTATTGTGAGGCCAGACAGGATGGGAACAAGCATGGAAAAGAATCTGGGTAGTCTGACTGAGCCCACTCAGTTTCGGCTGGGGTCGGCAAAGCAGGCGGACCCCTACCCTGGGTCTTAAAACATGAGGGGAGGTTATGAGCGGCCGAGCCGGTAGGTTCGTGTCCTCATGCCGACCATTTTACTGTTTCCAAAGAGGTCAGCTGGACACCAACCACTGCAGTGGTTTGGGTAAGATTTCATTCTTAACTTTAAATCAGGGAGGTGAGATGAGCAATTATTTCACATAAGGGTTCCTATGTGCTTTAGGTAAGATGGAAATTCAGATTTTTTTAAAGGTTCTCCACACATCCACTTGGGTGTATGCATGATTCGAAAACATTTGTGTAGTTATTGGACTATTTAATGATCAGAACTTAAAGTAATTGTCCTTTTTACAGACTGCTAAAACTTTGCGGTCTCTGCTGCATTAGTGTTCCTGTCTATTGGTTTATCTTTTGGCTCACCCCTGTCATTAAAATGCAGGCTGAAGACCCTCCCCAGGCCAAAGTTCTCCGTGTGCGTCCTGGCAGACCAGCAGCACTGCGATGAAGCCAAGGCTGCAGATCTCCCCCACATGGACATTGAGGCTCTCAAAAAGCTGAACAAAAACAAGAAGCTGGTCAAGAAACTTGGTGAGTTCAGTCGAATGAAAGACAAAGATGAGTAGTGATATTTAGGCTTAGTACTTAGTTGTCTTGTTTTATTCTTTTTCCCCTAGCAAAGAAGTATGACGCCTTCCTGGCCTCTGAGTCTCTGATCAAGCAGATTCCTCGTATCCTGGGTCCTGGTCTGAACAAGGCTGGCAAGTTCCCTTCCCTGCTCACCCACAATGAGAACCTGAACACAAAGGTGGATGAGGTCAAATCCACCATCAAGTTCCAGATGAAGAAGGTACTGTTTCAGTAAAGCATTTGAAGTCTGTTAGGGAGCTACTTTATTTGTGGTTTAACACTGGCTGTTTGTTGGTAGGTGCTCTGTCTGGCTGTGGCTGTTGGACACGTGAAGATGACTGAAGACGAACTTGTCTACAACATCCACTTGGCTGTCAACTTCTTGGTGTCTCTGCTGAAGAAGAACTGGCAGAACGTGCGAGCTCTCTACATTAAGAGCACCATGGGAAAACCCCAGCGCCTCTATTAATCGTTTTTCTATTAATAAAAGTGGAGAAACTCCAAACGGTGTTGCTGTTTTTGTTTTATTTGAAGTTGCATTACAGTTTTACAGTTAAGAAAACCATGAAATCTCCCTCAAGACTATTTAGAGGCTTAGTATTAAAGGGCTGTGCTCAAAATTAACACATTATTTTAAGTTTCCCGACATGTAATGCTGAAAAGTAATATGCACCTTGCTGTATTAAAAAACAAATAGGTTTGAATTTAAATGTTTTTTTTCCTTAAGGATTTTTTTGTCTTTTGCTCCATTTACAGTTTTTATATATATTTTTTTTTCAGTAAACTGTTTCAGAGGAGTGATCATAGCGCTCTGATCATCAGCGATGTGTTTGTCTCCCTGCCAGCTTCCAGATCAGCTTCTCTGATTGGTTGATGTGGCGCGTCAAGCTGCAAAAGTTTGATGTTTCCATCTCGAGCAGCGTCGGATGCTTGAACGCACCCGACGCGCTGCTCCTGCTGCTGAAAATGTGCTGCGGGACATTTTGCTGCGCCTTGACGCATGTCAACCATTGACTTTGCATGTCAACTAGCTGCTCCTGCTGCTTTTGGTCTGAACGCAGCATAACACTTGTTAACACTGGCAAAAAGCTTGCTGGCCAGTGGCGACCATGACTTCTTTGTCAGAAAGATGTCTTTGGTGTAGACACTTGTCAATCAAACATGTCTGACCAATAGAGAAGCACCCGCCCACTGCTGAACGTTTGTGTCGAAATTATTCAATAAAAAAAATTTGAACTTCAAATTTTTTTTCACTTCAAATAAACAAAAAAAAACAAAAAAAACTTAAAACAACTTTTTGGGAATTGAATGATTAAGACACAAATGTCCTACCCATGTATGGCCCAAACACAAAATAGATCCCTTCAACCAAAGAGAACATTTTCAACAATAAAAAAAAGTGTTCAAATGCAATTTTTTTCAGTCTCAAATATTTTTTTTGCATTCAAAAACTATTTTCTATGATTGAAAACGTTTATCTTTTCATTGAAGTAACTTTTTTTTTTATTGATTCTGTTGTTTGTTTGTTTGAAGCAACTTCTTTTTTGATTGAATAATAAAGGCACAAATGTCCTACCTATTATATGGTCCAATCAAAAAACAATGCAACTTCAATTTAAAAAATTGCTTTAAACAAAAAAGACTACACTTCTATCAAATAAAAAAAATTCAATCAAAGAAAGGCAGTGTTCAAATGCAATTTTTTGAGTCTC